ATAGTTGTTTGGCAGATCTTATAATCCACACAGGCTCTCATACCATGTTGATATAACTTAAGGATATTTAGTGGATTGGATAAGTCTTTGCCAAGAGAGTCAAGACAGCGGAAGTCTTAAGGTGTCCTTGCTCGAGAAAATGTAAACTAACAAGATGATAAGCAGAACATTACAAATGATTTATATAGATTTGTCCTAGCTAGCCATGTACTCTGAGGGGTACATTCCCTCATTTAACTGTTTTACAGGCATCGCTACAGTTGCAGCGACTATTGCGGTTTTTTACGGTTACCGCGTTGCACCCGTAACCTCCGATGACAGTTGCGGGGTGGTCAATAGTCCTGACCGTTTACTTTCCTGACCTTTGACCTTTGCTGCGTGCTCTATACGTGCTAACGCAGTACTGGTACAGGCGCAGATTCGTTATAAACCAATGCGCTAAGGTGAAGCCTTCGGGAATGCCTAAATAACCATTCGGTTATTTCAACAAGCAAGAAGGTGTTGTCAAATGTAATATTAGCCTGTTAGGCTACAGTGAGAAACATTGTAGGGAGTAAGTACTTCATGTTCCTGGATTGGCAGCCAACCTCCTCTCATGCTCTCAGCCAGCTAGGCAAGGATGTGCATGCACCTTCAACATGGGAGGGTGCACGGTTAGCAAAGGTGGAGCTGTGGTGTTTGAGGAAAAGTTGGACAGTGGTTTATACCTTGTTCCAGTATGTGTGCCTCAGGTGGAGAGGACACATGGGGATGAAGCTGAGGAAGCCGCTTGCAGCACCCGTTGGAGGGACGTGGAGCAAGTGACGGCAGATTTGCTGCACCTACGCATGGGGCATGCCGAGAGGCAACAGCTTATGGAGTGTGTGAAGAAGGGGGGGCTGAAGGGTGTGGAGATCAAGGAGGGTGATGGGCAGCCAAGCAAGTGCCCTGATTGCACCACTGGGAATATGCCAAGGACCTCCTTCCCTACCTCCAACTCTAGAGCCTCCGCACCACTTGAGTTGGTGCACACGGATGTGTGCAGCCCCATGCAAACTCCGGAAGGGCAGCAAGTACTTCATCACCTTCTTGGATGACTACAGCCGCCTAAGTTGGGTTACCTTGGTGAAAACTAAGGACGAAGTGGCCAAGGTCTTCAAGCGTTGGATACGCTATGCGGAGAGGGAAGCCGGGGCCAAGGTGAAGATACTAAGGTCTGATCGGGATAGGGAGTACATGGGGAAGGACCTGGAGACCTTCCTAGAAGATAAATGAATCACCCACCAGATTTCAGTTGCCTACCAAGCCGCAGCAAAACGGGACAGCAGAGCGGCTGAACTGGACCCTCATTGACCTGCCATGCTTGCTCATGCACAGCTGGACCATACTTGGTGGGGGGCAGCACCAATTGGGTTAAGAACCGGATGGGCAGCAAGGGGCTAGTGGGCAAGAGCCCATAATTCATGTGGACCAGGAGGTGCCTAGTGTGTCCATGGCAAGAGTGTGGGGATGCGTGGCGCAGTACAAAGTGCCCAACCAATAACGGAGGAAGCTGGATCCCAAGGCACAATGGGGCATTTTCCTTGGGGTGTCGGAGAGGAGCAAGGCTTGGGTGTGGTTTTTCACGAGGGGCTGAGCTTTAAGGGGTGGAATGAGCATGGTGAGGAGGTAATGGAGCAGCAAGAGGAACAGAAGGGAGCTGCACCTCACCATGAGGACTCCCCAACTGCTGGTTCCACCCCCGACCCTAACGAACCAGCCCATGACCCGCAGCAATCACAGGGGCAGCAGCAGCAACAAGAGCAGCCGAAGCAGCCACCACAGCAGCATACACCGCCTGTTCCTGTGGGTAAGTGGCAGCAACTGCTGCACCAGCATCTGTCCAAGTCACCACGGTCCCCCATGAAGAGAGTGACTTGGAAGGAGAAGCTGCAAAGTTTGGAGCAGGGGGAGGCATCATGAGGTGCATGATTGGGAGGAGTGAATGCTTGTGGATGTTTGATGGGGGTGAGCATGGACTTGACTTTTGTCTTATGGATCCGGTGCATGAGCTTAAGTCGGTCTAGGAGGCCTTGTCCCGTCCTGAGTGGGTCGAGTCCATGCGTGAGGAGCTTGAGTCCCATAGGGTGAACGGGCCCTTGCCGGTTGAGGGCCCACTGTTCTGCATTTTAGTAGGGAGGGTGTGGGTTGGAAAGGGGGTGCAGAGAAATCAAGTGGGGGGATGAGAGTCAGGGTGTTTCACATCGCATGGTGATAAGTAGCTGCCAACTGGCATTTGATGGGGCATATGGTGTTTTTGAGTTGCACATACCATCTCTGTACTCGGCTAGGAGTTGCTCGTCATCGAACCACCTCGTTGGGTGTAGCTCACTGGGCAGGCTATCCACGAGATGGCGGAAATCGGCAAGGGCCATGCCGGTTTATGCTGCTGGCCTGAGGGTGGTGTTGATTGTTGACCTTGTCGACGACATCTGGTGGTTGAAGACTACCATGGTTGACTTGTCATTGTGCAACCACAGCAGCTTCATTGCCTCGAGCCCTTCTGCAGACAAGTGGACAGAGAACGCTTCGAACACTTCCTCCGGTGCAGGGTAGTACTGTTTTTTTTCCGGCAGGTTCAGGCAACATGAGCTGAGACGTCACTAAGTAGGCTTTGTTCTGCGCAGGAGTGTAGGGTATACAACACGACAAGGAAGAGAGAATCAGTTGTTATGATTGTGGCCGCGGGAGCTCAGGATGGTGGTTAGCAACACTGTGTGAACTTGCCACGTCACACCCCCCTATCGCATGTCACGTCACCCCCCACCCACCTGACACGCCTCGTCCTGTCACGCGCTGCTCCCGTGTACCCTCCAAACCGCCACGTCATCCCCAACCCTCACCTTTCGCCACGTCACACCTTCCTGCATCCGCCACGTCATCCACAACCCGGCCCAATTGCCACGTCACACCCCCCCACCATAAGCCACGTCACCCCCCACCCACCTGACACGCCTCGTCCCGTCATGCGCCTGCGCCCGTGTACCCTCCAAACCGCCACGTCATCCCCAACCCTCACCTTTCGCCACGTCACACCCCCTGCATCCGCCATGTCATCCACAACCCGGCCCACTTGCCACGTCACACCCCCCCACCACAAGCCACGTCACCTCCCACCCACCTGACACGCCTCGTCCCATCACGCGCCGCTCCCGTGTACCCTCCAAACTGCCACGTCATCCCCAACCCTCACCTTTCGCCACGTCACACCCCCCTGCATCCGCCACGTCATCCACAACCCGGCCCAATTGCCATGTCACACCCCCCTACCACAAGCCACGTCACCACCCACCCACCTGTCACGCCTCGTCCCGACTTGCACCTGCGCCCGTGTACCCTCCAAACCACCACGTCATCCCCAACCCTCACCTTGCGCCACGTCACACCCCCTTGCATCCGCCACGTCATCCACAACCCGGCCCAATTGCCACATCACACCCCCCTACCACAAACCACGTCACCCCCCACCCACATGACACGCCTCGTCCCATCTTGCACATGCGCCCGTGTACCCTCCAAACCGCCACGTCATCCCCAACCCTCACCTTTCGCCACGTCATCCCCAACCCTCACCTTTCGTCACGTCACACCCCCCTGCATCCGCCACGTCATCCACAACCCGGCCCAATTGCCACGTCACACCCCCCTACCACAAGCCACGTCACCACCCACGTCACGCGCCGCTCCAGTGTACCCTCCAAACCGCCACGTCATCCCCAACCCCGCCCTTTTTCCACGTCAACCCCAACCCGCCCCATTTGGCCCGCCACATACCGGGAATGGGTTTGTCTCCTGCAACACTAGCACTCGTGCCTTGTCCACGGCACTCATCGTCGGGGGTGTACCAGCCATATGCACCACTGCGGACCCCCCGGCATAACTAGTAGGTGCTCCATGACGCAGGCCGAGCTGAGCAAACATGGCGTACATCTCAGCCCGGAGCGCCTCGAACTCCTCCCGTGTAACAAACTGCTCCTGCTCCGCACTTTCACCTGGGGCACCCATGGGATTGGGGCCAGGGTGCGAAGAATCCCCCCTCTGGCTAAGGGGATCCATGTCTTCTGCAGCAGTCCCGTGTGCACTCACACTATTACGCTGGCAGGAAAGGGGCAGCTCAGGGAAGGGATTGGCAGAAGTGCTTGGCTGATGCTCGTGCAAAGGACCGGCCAGGGGGGAGACCGCCTTGCCCCGGACAGGAGATGCGTGGAGCTGCCGATATGGGTACGAGGGTGAGGGGAGTGGGGAGTGCGTGACGTGGCCATGTCGAGGGGATTCGGCATCCTCTTCTCCTGGTGCTGCTGTAGCTGCGACTTTAGACGGGCCGCTGTAAGGCGTGAAGAACCGCGGGGCTCCTGTGGATAGCGGGGTAACACTCGCTCTTCTGGCCCCCTTCGTTAGCTGCATCCGTTGCACGCTTACCGGTGGCCCAATGCCTGTAACACGAGGGGCTGAGAGTTATAGGGAGCGTGAGCACAAAATTAGAGTCGATTACGTTCAAAACAGGGGCACACATGCATGCAAACGAGCAGCGGTTTGAATCTAAAACGGGTTTAGCAGGGTATTGTTTTGGAAATAATGGCCTTACACTGCTTTGCAGATTCGTCGACCTTGCCTTTCCCTGCACGGGGAAAACAAGGGATGTGTGGTGTTAATAGGGACGGTTTAGCACAGACTGGGACAGCCGCGCCATGTGTATGGGCCTCAGCGCTTACCTCGCTGCTGGCCCTTCAGTTTAGCTGCCTGCGCCTGCTCGTTGCCACCTTTCCGCGGGGTGCTTTCGCGGCCGCTGCGACGTTTACTGGCAGCTTCCTTCTTGGCCGAACCCACTGGAACCCCTTTGGCGCAGCTTCCCTTTCCTTCTCCTTCCCTTTTGCGCCTTGGCTCCCCTGCTTTTTACCACCCCCCTCAGTTTCGACCTTCACTTTACGCGCCTTCGATTTGCCCGCTGCTTCGCCACACGGTGCGTCAACTGCCCCGCGTTTTCAGGAATGACGAGTCCGGCCCCCCACCTTCCCTGTACCACTCCCCCGTCTGCCTTGCGCGCCCCGGCCCTTCACTGCCGCCACATCCTCCTCCTCTTCCTCTTCCGCCCCTTCCTCCTCCTCCTCCTCCTCCTCCTCCTCCTCCTCCTCCTCCTCCTCCTCCTCCTCCTCCTCCTCCTCCTCTTCCTCCTCTTCGTCCTCCTCATCATCATCCTCATCTTTTTCCTCCTCCCCCACCTCCGCTTCCTCCTCCTCCGCATCCTCCTCATCCTCCTCTTCCTCCTCATCCTCCTCCTCATCAGCCTCCTCCTCCTCGTCCCCCTCATCCCCCTCATCCTCCTCCTCCGCATCCTCAGGGTCTTCTTCGCAGATTTTCGGCCTCTTCCCCCTCGCTGCTTGCTTGCCCCTCCTTCCGTCGGGTTTTTTCCGCACTCCGGGTCGGCCCTTCTGGCGCAATGCATGACCCGTCGCCTTGCCACTTGCTTCCCTGGCGCCTCGTGTTGTCCCAACTTCCGCGCCACCGACGTCGTCAGCACTGCATGTCGCCTGCCGCCTCTTCGCCCGCGTAGTGATGTCCCCGGCCAGGGCGGTGTCATACTCTTCCCCCCCCCTCGCTCTTCCTCTGCCTACGCCTCCCACGTCCACCTGAAGGAGGAGAGCCACCGATGTCGGCGATGCCGTGTTGCTCCTCCATAGAATCGTGCTCCCCAGCGTTGTCCTTATCTACCACGGCAGCAGAAACTTCGACCACGGTCGGGTGGAGCAGCGTCAGATGGTGCTGCGATGCTTCCGCCTCGGACTCCTGGGTTGCGGCATGCTCGTCGCGGGGAGCATCACCGTGGTTTCCCCCTGTCGTCGAGCCCTCTCTCTCCGCCGACGGGACTGCAAGACTCACGCTCCCTCGCCCAGGATCTTCCTTGCCGCCGATGGTGCCGTTGTCAGTCGGCCCGGGCTCGCTTCCACCCGTGCAAGACCTACTCGACCTACCCTGTTGAGGTGAGCGACCTGTTTCCCGGGCTACTGTGCAGTCTATGCACTCTGAAACCCTCAGGAATTGTCAGATGTGCTCTGCCCCATTGAACTCACCCCACATGTTATTTACGTTGGCTGCCATTTCTCCTCCATTCCCCACCACATCCCCATTTCCAGTGTGTGCTCTGGAAGTGGGATGTCCCAGGGACCGCGTGGGGCAATCCCTACCTCGTTGTCATGCCTGATATCATGCACCATGCGGACCTGGGCATCATGAGCCACATTGTGGCTGTCGTGCGCAAGATGAAGAAGCGGCGCGTGAAGCAGATGGACAATCTTGAATTGCATGACTCACCGCAGAAAAACCCGCTACTACGACAACATATATTTCTCTCAGATCGCTCCGATGGAGCCCATTGTCCCGGATCCAAACAATGACCCCACAGTTGGACTCTAGAACAACAGCCTGACAATCTCACCTGATTCCAAGCATTCCAGAGTCTTCGCCCGGATTTGTCGACCTCGACCACCTCGTTACACCACGAATCGCCAGTGTCGCCCGACGCACCCAAGATAACATCAACAAGTGGTACTTGGTCAGTTGCTGCGGGCAACACATGGTCGGGTCAACAACGTTCATCGTTAATCAAAGGCCTCTAAATTACCTGTGCGAAATAACAGTCGCAAACGACAATAGACTCAATGCTCACGAAATTGGAGAAGTCCACTTGCAGTCACGTGGACAATCTTCGCTGGCGACGTCCTGGTCGTCGACAATCTTTGGTTCAATCTCCTCTCTGCAGCAAAGCTCATGAAATGTGGAGTTTGATGGAAAGCGTGCAATTCTAGAGAGCATAGTAAGAAATTAAGTCCGCCGACTTCGACGGAACATTCCGTGCAGCTCACGTAATCCTATAATATGAGCAGGTAGGCGTTGGAAAGGTCTCGATCTCTACTCTCCATAAAGATAAATAACACCTTCAACCACGATCTAGGCCGATCGCTATTGCGATTTGAGAGCGACGGGGTATCCTGGCGGAAAACCTAGGAAGCCATGGATTAGATATATGAATGGCTTTAGCAAGAGTTCAGATATGAAAAGTGACGAGTTTGACAAACCCTACCATCCCAACCCTCGCCCTACAACACACCCAACACCCTAAAGTGCCAAACTAGCAACACCAAAGGTGCTGTAGTGGATAGCAAAGATTTGTTGGTGCTTGTTGGGTGCGAGTTCAATTCCAGCCCGCAACAAGTCTACCAGTCATATTTTGCCCAAGCCCTTGCCCACAATCAGCTAGAGAAAAATCCCACAACCACCTACACAATCATCAGTTCAAGGCAACGGCTTAGTGCGGGGGAGCTACTTAAGGCACAGGAAGCATGGGACCGAAAGAACAAGCAAGCGTTCCAGTACCTGTGAGGTCCTTGGAAGGCCAACTAGAGCTCTTGAAGATGCTGATTGACGTGAAGGGGAAGCAAGGAGCAGCTGCCCAAGCATGGAAGAAGCAAACAAGATCTGCACATGCAAAAGGGGTTGCTAAGCATACTCACATGGAGGAAGCGGTTCTACACCATGGAACGCAACTATGGCGATGGGGAGACCAGTGCAGTACCTCCAGAGGGTGGATGAGTATGTGAGGGCCTTGGAGGAGTTGAACTACAAAGTAGATGAGAAGGAGATAATCTACACCACACTCCAGGGGCTGGACCAAAAGGGAAACGAGACTCTACTACAGTACCTTCACCTAGAGCAGCAGAAATGGACGAAGGCCTGGATAAGGGAGGTGTTGGTCTCTGATGAGGCCAGAAGAGAACTCACCGCCCCTGTCAGAGTGCAGACGCAGGACTGGAAGGTCCCGCCGAAACCGCTCGCGCAGCTGGTGACGAGTAGCGCGGATCCAGGGGATCAAAACACCGCTGACGTCCGCCTTGCTGCGCAAGGGAAAGACCGTGGTGTAGCGCGTGTAGTCGTCGACGACCAGCAAGAAGTAGAGCTCCTGGTCGAGACGAAGGCATCATCCAGTCGTTCACACTTCCGGCCTCTCCGCAGCAAAATGGGATTGCTGAGCGTCGCATTGGCTTGATCATGGAGGTTGCTCGTACCTCCATGATCCATGCGGCTGCTCCCCTTTTTCTGTGGCCGTCTGCGGTCCGATACGCCGCGCATCAGCTCAACCTCTGGCCCCATGTCTCTTTGCCAGAGACCTCGCCCACACTCCATTGGACGGGAGAGGTTGGCGATGCGTCGGCGTTTCGGGTCTGGGGCGCGCTCTCCCTTGTTCGCGATACCACCGCGAGCAAGCTCTCTCCTCGCACTCTCCGCTGCGCCTTCCTGGGCTTCCCCGCCGACGCCCCGCCGCGGCTGTTTTACCACCCTCGCTCGCGTCGAGTCCTATCCTCCCAGGTCGTCACCTTTGACGAGTCTGTCTGTTTCTACAGGCTCCACCCGCATGCGTCCCACCCGGTCCCGCTGGCGCCTCTCTTCCTGGTACCAGTTCCCCCCCCGGTAGACCCCCTGTCCCCACAGGGTCCTGCTCCCTCAGGTGTGTCTCAGGTAGACCCACCCCCCTTGGTTGAGCCTTTGGTGATCTCCTCTGACACCTCTGGCCCAGCTGAGGGGGGTGACCCCGCTGCTGACGACACGGCGACCACTCGTCGCTCTCCACGCTTGGAGACCCCTCCTGGTTTTCCGCCTCGACCGTCTTCGCCGCCCCTGCAGCCTGTAGCTGTGGACACTGGTGCTGCTGGGGGTGGTGACAATGGGGGTGAGGACGCAGGAGGTGTTGGTCCTGGGGGTGCTGAGACTGGGGGTGTTGAGACTGGGGGTGCTGGTCCTGGGGATGCTGAGACTGGGGGTGAGGATTCTGGGGGTGCTGACTCTGGGGGTTCTGACTCTGGGGGTGCTGCGAGTCCTAGCGGTGGTGGGGCTGTGGGTGCTCCTGCTGCAGGTCCTGGCGTTGGACGGCAGCAGCCGCCTAGTCGACTCGAGACGCCCTCACCGCAACAGCTTTGTGAGTGGGTCGTTCGACGAGGCTGCTCTGGTGCTAGAGCTTGGAGTTTTACAGCTCCTCGAGCTGCTGCCGGGGATTGATATAGAAAGAATAGTTGTTTGGCAGATCTATAATCCACACAGGCTCTCATACCATGTTGATATAACTTAAGGATATTTAGTGGATTGGATAAGTCTTTGCCAAGAGAGTCAAGACAGCGGAAGTCTTAAGGTGTCCTTGCTCGAGAAAATGTAAAATAACAAGATGATAAGCAGAACATTACAAATGATTTATATAGCTTTGTCCTAGCTAGCCATGTACTCTGAGGGGTACATTCCCTCATTTAACTGTTTTACAGGCATCGCTACAGTTGCAGCGACTATTGCGGTTTTTTACGGTTACCGCGTTGCACCCGTAACCTCCGATGATAGTTGCGGGGTGGTCAATAGTCCTGACCGTTTACTTTCCTGACCTTTGACCTTTGCTGCGTGCTCTATACGTGCTAACGCGGTACTGGTACAGGCGCAGATTCGTTATAAACCAATGCGCTAAGGTGAAGCCTTCGGGAATGCCTAAATAACCATTCGGTTATTTCAACAAGCAAGAAGGTGTTGTCAAATGTAATATTAGCCTGTTAGGCTACAGTGAGAAACATTGTAGGGAGTAAGTACTTCATGTTCCTGGATTGGCAGCCAACCTCCTCTCATGCTCTCAGCCAGCTAGGCAAGGATGTGCATGCACCTTCAACATGGGAGGGTGCACGGTTAGCAAAGGTGGAGCTGTGGTGTTTGAGGAAAAGTTGGACAGTGGTTTATACCTTGTTCCAGTATGTGTGCCTCAGGTGGAGAGGACACATGGGGATGAAGCTGAGGAAGCCGCTTGCAGCACCCGTTGGAGGGACGTGGAGCAAGTGACGGCAGATTTGCTGCACCTACGCATGGGGCATGCCGGGAGGCAACAGCTTATGGAGTGTGTGAAGAAGGGGGGGCTGAAGGGTGTGGAGATCAAGGAGGGTGATGGGCAGCCAAGCAAGTGCCCTGATTGCACCACTGGGAATATGCCAAGGACCTCCTTCCCTACCTCCAACTCTAGAGCCTCCGCACCACTTGAGTTGGTGCACACGGATGTGTGCAGCCCCATGCAAACTCCGGAAGGGCAGCAAGTACTTCATCACCTTCTTGGATGACTACAGCCGCCTAAGTTGGGTTACCTTGGTGAAAACTAAGGACGAAGTGGCCAAGGTCTTCAAGCGTTGGATACGCTATGCGGAGAGGGAAGCCGGGGCCAAGGTGAAGATACTAAGGTCTGATCGGGATAAGGAGTACATGGGGAAGGACCTGGAGACCTTCCTAGAAG